GCCTGGCAAGCACAAGGGCCTGAGTTCAAACCCTGGTACCAAAAACAAACAAACAAACAAACAAACAAACAAACAAAGCTAGCATGACAATACTGTCTAACGTGATCTACCAATCCAATGTAATTGCCACCAAAATGTCCATGTCATTCTTTAAAAATCTAGAAAAAAAATCCTAAAATTCATATAGAAGTTCAAAAGACCCTGGTTAGCCAAAGTAAAGAGCAATGTTGGAGGCATTATAATACCTGATTTTAAAATACACTATAGACTTCTATGATTAAAAACAGTATGTATTTGACATAAAAGCAGATAGGCAGACCAAAGAAATAGAACAGAGGACCCAGAAATAAAACCATGAGCCTACAGCCACCTGATTTTTGACAAAGAAGCCAAAAAGATATGTTGGAGAGAAAATGGCCTCTTCATCAAATGACACTGGGAAGCCTGGATACCTGTAAGTAGAGAAGAGCCAAGTCTTGTCTCTCACTCTACAAAAATCAGTTCAACATGGATCAAGGACCTTAACGTGAGACCAGAAACTTTGAAACTAAAGGTAAACATAGGGGATACATTGTAAGATACTGGAACAGGCAACAACTTCCTAATAGAATTCCAATAGCCCAGGAAACAAAAGCAAGATCTGAGGGAAGGGATTACAACAGATTATAAAACTTCTGCATAGCAAATGAGACAATAGTATGCACAGACAGTCTACAGGAGAGAAATCTTCACTATTAATCTGGAATAGGATTTATTAATCCAGATTATATAAAGGATACACACACATAAGCAATAAACAAATGATATAAACAGATACTTCTCAAAAGGGCCAATGAATTATAAAAAATATGTTCAATAACTTTAGCCATTAGGCAAACACAAATCAAAACAATGCTGAGACTCCATCTCACTCTTGTCAAAATGGCTATTATCCAAAAAGGAAAAAAAAATGCATTGCTGGTAATGGTGGGAGTGTAAGTTAGTATAGCCACCCTGGCAAAGTTTGGATGTTTTTGAAAAAAATAAAAATTGAACTACCATGTAATTTACCTACACCACTCATGAGTATACACCCAAAAGAAATTAATGCAGTATACAGGAGATACCTGCATATCCATGATCAATGCAACACAGAAATGTGACTGAATCCAATTATTCTGTACAGCTAAAGTACATTAATGATTATTATCATAATAAAAATAAAATGGAAGGAATGACCCCTAAAGGCAATTCAGAAATCTAGCTGCTGCTCCCATCCTGTGCTCAGGTGAGGGAGTCTCTCCTGAATTGCAAAGATGAGGCAATGCTGTCACTGATCAATGCCTTAAGGGCAAGGCCAGAGAACAGTGTCACAGGGTGAAAAGCTACCCTGGTAGACCTAGAGGGCACAGCACTGGCCCAGAAAGGATAAGCTGTCATCCTTGAGCTTTAACAAGATTTTTTTTGCTAAGTTTAGCTTTGGAACTTATCATACCTTTTTACTTTACGATTTCTCTTTTGGCATAGTTACATTAATCTTATGGTTGTGCCATCATTAAAGTTTGAAAGCATATAGTAATTTTTATCACTTCAGATTTACAATCAGAGGAATTTTGCCTCAGGATTAATCATACCCTGAGTCTCATCTATACCTGATTTAGATGATGTAGTTCTTTTTTTTTTTTTTTTTTTGTATTTTAGGACAGGGTCTCACTACTAGATCAGACTTGTAGTGATCCTCCTGTTTACAGCCTCCCAAATGCTGGGATTATAGGTACCATGCCCAGTCTCAATAGATGTCTCAGTGTGCTCCAGGGGGTGGGCCTGGCATAGCAGGCCTGGGGATCAAACTTCCGGCCCCTGCATCTGCCTAAGGAGGATACTTTGGAGTCGATGCTAAAACAAGTAAAGAGTTTGGAGACAGTATGGACAGAATGAAAATATTTACATACTAGGGAGCCAAAGATGTAATGTTATGGGCTGAATGCATGTGTATCCCCATATTTCATTTAAATCTGAACGTCCTGGATGGCTATATTTGGAATGAAGAAGCTATTAGAATTTAATTGGGTCATAAGGGGTTTTGCCTGATTTGATAGGACTAGTGTTCTTTTTGTTTTCAAAATCTTTTTTTAATCTTTTTTTTATATATTTAGAACAGGGTCTCACTACACAGATAGACTTGTAGTGATTCACCTGTTTTCAGCCTCCCAAGTGCTGGGATTATAGGTGTGTGCCACCATGCCCAGTCTCAATCCCTGTCTCAGAGCACCCTGGAGGTGGGGGTTGCATGGCATGTGGTGTCAGGGATCAAACCTTGGTCCCTGAGCTCGCCTAAACAGGTGCTTTAAGGACTAGTGTCCCTTTTTTTTGCAACTCCAATTTTCTTTTATCTTATAAAGACTGTACAAAATAGCATTAAAAGATAAATTACAAGTGATATAGAATTTTACTTAACAAAATAATATAAATTTCACAGTGTTTGTTATAATGCATAGTGTTATCTTCCAACCAGTTATTCATATTACCAGACATATGCATGCCAAATTGGAAGAAAACAAGAAATAAGTATATAAGAAATTAAGAGAAAAAGGAGATACAATTGAAAAAATGAGACAAAACAAATTAAGCACTATCTGCTCTTTTCCATAGGCCAGTAGAAATCCACATTATACATCATATTGTCTCCTTAGTGTGAGAACCTGAAAGAGAAAATGGAATCTGAAGGGTACAATGGACACCAAAAAAAGGGGATGAACTTATTCAAAAAGCAAAGTTACTGAGTTGAGGAGGACAGGACAGAGTGTATGGGAGATTTATTCATGTATGCAAACACAATGGTTTGGACAACTGTGCTAAGGATTAGTGTTGTGATGAAACATCAGAGTTCTTTCCTCTGCCCTCACATTGATTCTGCATGACACACCAAGGTAAGACTGAGTGAAGACACACCAAGAAGGAGCCATCCACAAGCCAATAAGCCATGAAACCATTCCATAGAGGAAGTGTGACCATTCCCTTGCCCCTTGCCTCTGTCCATATCTTACTATAGGGATGACAGGCACTGCAATTCCAGATTCCAGAACCATAAGAATCTAGTCTGTGGCTATGTATGTGTGCATGTATGTATGTATGTATGTATGTATTTTAGCAGTCTGAGCAAACTACTATGCTGACAAAAACTGGGCAGCACTGAGTTACTAATACATGATTAGACTAAATTCCTCACATGTATAACAGACTAAAATTAGTATCTAAGTTTGGTGTTATGATGGTAAGAAACTAAAATTAATTATCAGAAAAATACTTGCACTCAGGGGCCTGAGAGATAGCTCAGTTGAGTAAGTGCTTGCCTGGCAAGCATAAAGGTCCTGAGTTTGATCCCTGGTACCACCAAACAAACAAACAGAATGGTAATTTTTTTCTTTTTTTCCAGAACCGGGGATTGAACTCAGGCCCTTGTGCTTGCCAGGGAAGTGCTTATTCTACTAAGCCATCTCCTGGCCCCAAAATAGTTAATATAAAGACTTTCAATGTTGTTAAAACCAAATTCTTACTGTGATGGTTAATTGTGGTATCATCTTAAATATGACATCCGGTGGAGTAGTGGAGCACAGTTCTGGGCATGTTTGGATGACTGACTTCTAAAGTGCAAACCAAGGATGGAAGAGTCACCCTGGGAGGAGGTGGCACTCATCAATATGCCTGTAAGCTGGACAGAATAAAAAGGGAAAGATCCTGCCTTTTTGCTTCTTTAGAGGTGCTCAATCTTTGCCATCACCTTTGGAAATTCTTCTCTGCTTCTCTAAGGTTCCCAGTGCAGATCCACCAGCTTTCAGAAAAGGACTCACACTAGACTCTGCAGTGAGTTCCAGGCTTTAACTTTTGACTGGGTCCTCCAGCTCTCCAGCATACAGCCATGTGCTTTCATCCATTCCTGATTCCACTATGGACTATATTAAGTCTACTTTGCTAAATCTTTTATACATGTGTGAATATGTACTTTTATATCAAATCTTGTAGTGAATCTTATCTGATACATTATTCTTTTTAAATCCAGAAGCTGAATATAAGGCAGGATTAACACCACCACTACCACCACCACCACCACCACCATCACCACCATCACTACCACCACCACCACCACCACCACCACCACCACCACCACTACCTCAAGCATTTACAGTGGTATCTCGTTTCACAAACTCAATTTTCTCCACAATTCTAGCTGCAAAATGAACCAAAAATTGAATCAAATTTCTCCATAAGGTTAACACTGAACTTAACCATTGAATTTTATTCAATTTTTGTCAACCTGATTTGCAACCAGAATTGTGGAATTGAGTCTGTGAAACAAGGTACCACTGTATGTTATCATAGCGAACTCATCCAACACAATTATTCAACTAATGTTTAAGCAGGGCCCACATTAAACACCCTGTCCTAATAACTGGGCTGCAAAAACAGATCTGAAGTCTCTGAAATTTGAATTGCACTGCATCTCTATAAGAATCTAAAGCAAACAGAATGTCTTTCAATAATAACTTCTTTAATAAAAGTAGTTTACCTCTCAGTGTCCTAGTAGCAAAAACACAAAATCTTTGGTAAAACTTAAAACAAAATAATTCACTTGAATAATTATGCTTTGGTTCATCCATCAGCATTCTATCCATGTAACTGAGCTCTTCATATTTTACATGTCTTAAGACACATGTTTTCTTGATAAGGGAGGGAAAATTGAGCAACTCTCTACTACAGATAGGAGTGCATGAATTCACAATAAGTGGATCCTTTTCCCCACTCACTCTGCCCTAGTAGATACAGTCTGCTCTAGTGTGGTAGCCTTTTCTCTACTCACATACACTCTCTTCTGGGCGAGGTGGAGCAGAAGGAAGGTAAGGCCTGTGTGGCCCCTGGCTTACACCCAAGGGGTCTTGGGACCTGAAAAGAAGATTTTTATACTCATAGTTGTTTTTGCAAGCAGAATTAGTTTATTTCATTCAAAAGTTTTATAGGAGAAACTTTATTTATGAAAGGAAATTCATTGTAAACAATGAAACTCATAGTCACATTGAATATTTAAGTGCATTTTTTTTCTGGTAAAAGCACGTGACCTATATGAAAAACAATGCTGCAAAATTCTGCTTTCAGTGTACCCACTTTTTGAAAACTGAAAGCTGGTGTCTCTATTTAGTAGCAACAAGTAAAACTGTTGTAAAACTGCCATTTAAAAAGTAGTATTTTAAAAAATGTGTACTTGATTAACATGATGTGTTTTATAGGATGGATAACTGAATGGCAGTTTGAATATGTAAGATTTATGTGTTAAAAACTGCACTGGAAACCAAATTCTCTTTTTATAAAAACAGTAGTTTGAAATAAAAAAGAACTTGCCAGTAACTCCATAAACATTCATACATGGGACTTAGAAAAAAAGCAAAAGACATTTACACCACCCCTCCTTCTCCACAAAAAATAATAAAAAGGAAAGAAGTGGTCCATTTCAGTACAGCCTTCACATGAGCACAAATTCCCTGCTGCCACATACTCGCTTACAGTCAGTATTTACTTCCTACAGTGCATGTTTTGAAGGGTTGTTTAGTGAAAGTGCAGTATCACATATAAGACACTGAACACAGACATGCAAGAACAAAGCTCACATTACAGTGTAAGTTTTTACAACTACTTTAAAAACTTTTGATTCACCAAAAAAAAAAAAAAAAAGACGTCAAATACAGCAGCATTTTCATCCTCCAATGGTATGCATTAGATGCTTTTGTTATTTGGCCAATCTTTTGGAGTCGAGCAAAAACAATGCAGTCTGAACAACATTTCTTCTGTCAATATAATAGGATTTCGCGAGCGGGTAGAACAGTAGGGCGCAGAGCAGAAGTTAAATTTTTGGAAGCTTTGGTGCTTTCACCACAGGATTTGCCTCCTGCAAGAACCTCCTCCCTGCGCTCTTGTAATCATACGTGCAGCCATGAGTCTCTGCATAGCGATGAGATGCACAGAAGTTGTTTCCACATCTAGAGCACAGAGAGAGGGTGTGTGAACAGGCACATCTCACGCAGGACAGCAGATACCCTCTGCGTCTTCAAAGTGTCAGTGTGGACGCTTCCTTTCCACTCAAAAGCAAGAGTCCCCACCCACAAGAACAAGCTGTCTATGAGCAGCAGTTTATAATAATAATAATAATGATAATGATAATGATAATAAAAATCATGAACTGGAACCACATTTAGCCTGCATGAAGCAGCATGACTGCAAAAGCTGAAAACATTTCCTTCATATTTTTGGTTTGTCTGTTTTGAGACAGTCTTGCTGTATAGTGCAGGCTGGCCTTGAGCTCAGTTAGTTAACCCAGGGTGGCCTACAACGCACAGCAATCCTCCCGCCTCAGCCTCCCTTATGCTGGCATTACAGGCTTGCACCACCCTCAATCTGCCTCATCTCTTACACCCAGTAAACCTAAATGAAAGTCTGAGAAATAGTCATATTGAAAGAAAAAAAATGTTAAATGTAGCTACTTCATGAAAAAAATTTAAAAATGTTACTGGGTAAGGCATTTTGTTTGAACACAAGACACTAAAAAGTAGGTTATTTTTAATGCCTGGCCTTGACACAATTTAAGGTCAGACCTAATTCTTTGAGATTCCAATCAATATATAATTATGAGAAGAAAATATTCACTTTAAAAGATGTATCATTGAACGGTTTTGAAATAACTGCACCATATAATCGTCAAAATTTGTAGTAAGTTAACTTTCAACTTAGTCTCTTCTTTTTGAGTCAAGATCTTACTATGTAGGCCAGGCTGTCCCTGAATGCACAGTGATCTTCCTGCCTCAGCCACCTGAATTCTGGAGTTACAGGCACACTCGCCACCACACCTGCTGCCATTTTAGTCTGTTGTTGTCAAATTAAAATCACACCATTTTGCAGGAGGCCTTCTTCTAAGGTAACATCCCAACAAAACCCACCCATATTTAACAGAAACCAAAGGTTCATGTTCCTGCCAGGTCCAATCTCCTAGTTTATAGGACAGTGGGAGATCTGCTTTTGTCTCCTGGAAACTACTTGTGCTTTACCTTAGCAAATCAGGAATTCTATGGAGGGCTGCTATTTGAACATCACCTTAGTGCTGTGAGTGGCCAATTTAAATAATGTTTTATTTTGCATAATCCCCAACCCTGGTCACCACCGAGAAAACATCTTAGCTACTCCAGCTGGCCAACCTGCCTGCATTCGTAGCTAGTAGCCAGTCCTGTTTTCTTTCCACAAAGAAAACAATGTTTTGCTGTTGCCTTCTTCTTTGTTTGGAGAGGGGCTTTCACGGGTGGGAGGTGATGGGTGTATTCTGTGCAGAGAAAGGGTACTTTGATTAATAAGGCTTAAAATTTAAAGGTGAATAGCTACTGAGTGGAACACATTCCTCTTGCAGTAAACATCTCTGCCATAAAAGTGTAATTTGTGGCACTTTCTCCTGAAAAATTAGAGAATCTACAGGACAAGTTACAGAAGAACTCTGTTCTTAAGATTTAATATCTGATGACACTTCTTGTGTACACTAATGGTTTCTGGTTGCACCTAAGGGAAATCAGCTCATGTTAAGCAAATCAACCGAGCCTTGACCAGAATCAAGAAAACTGTCTGGCTCAGAATAATAATACCTGATGAACCCTCTGAGAATAATCCAGCTGTAACACAATCTTGTTTGGGAAGAGCTTGCTGCAGAATTGCCATGTGGTTCTCAACTCGAGGGGCTGAACTGGGGTTGGAGGGGTTGCCCTAGACAGCTGTGAAGAGGTATGGGAGGCCTGAGCTCAATTTTTATTTGGCAGCTAAAGTCTCTGAAGATTCTTCAAGAGTTTTGAGAACTAGATTTACAATTAATCAATGCTATGCCCCTTGCCAAAGCCCAGATCAGGTGTCATGTATTAAAACTTCAAGGAAGATGACAGCTGTTGCTCCCCTCCTGGGAAAGCCAGGCAGTGTGTCTGTGAGGAGCTGCTTCTGGTAAGAGGGGCTTTGAGAGCTGCTATGTCCCTGTGCTGCAAGGCCTGGTCTTTTATCCGGACATAGCCAGCCTGCCTAGTAGAGACTGATGCTGGACCAGGATGCTAAAAACACTGGTCGAGGGCAGTTCCTCCAACGCCACTTCAGGCTCTGGAGTCCGAGAAACACATGGCAATTCTGCAGCGAGCTCCTCCCAGACAAAAGCTGCTAATTTCAAATTGGGCTTTATTGTTCATGTGTGTCCTACCTGTCACTCACACAATCATTTCTTGAATTGGGAAAAGCTTAGGGAGAGACCTCCCTCTTTCTCTGAAGATTCAACAGGGTGCATAATGGTGTTAGAGCCTGTCTTCAGGGTGATCTGTGGCTTCCTTACCTCCTCGTTTCCCTGCTGCTATGCTGCTTCGGTTCTTTCGAAGGTCAAGGGCAGACTGCAAGGAGAGCACAAAACACCCAGAGGTGAGTCATCAGCGGGATGGGAGCAGCTAGATGCCAAAATGCCAAACTCTGACTGCACAAAGTGGGGGCCTCCCTTTAACATTATATGGTTGAGCTGGCCACCAAGACTGGGGAGTCCAGGCTGGTACCAAATACATTAAAAAAAAAAATGATATCTGTTTAACTAAATTAACTTGGAACCCAGTTCTTCTAGCACTGTTACATAGTGCCATTTATTTATTTATTTATTTATTTATTTATTTATTTATTTAGTGTGCTGTTTTCTTACAGGGCCTAGCTTTATAGTCCAGGCTGGCCTTGAATTTGCAGTGATCCTGAATCTGTCTCTCTAGTGCTGGCATTACAGGCATACAGCAGCATGCGTGGCCTAGTGTTTATTATTCATGTTTAAAAGACTAAACTTTGGGCTGGGAATACAGCTCAGTGGCATAAGTGCCTGCCTGGCAAGCCCAAGGTCCTGAGTTCAATTCCTGATACCCACCCCCCAAAAATAAAAAAAAAACCAAAAACAAAAAAACAACCCCCTGAAAAAAAGACTACCATTTGATGGTTCAGATAGGAATTCTTACTTTGGGAAAAAGCATGAGTAAAAATATTTAGCATTTACTTATTTTCAATTACTGTTCTCAATTCAGGACCAACACATTTAAAATTTAATCATCAAGCTGGGCATGGTGGCAAATGCTCATGTTCCCAGAAAGCACTTGGGGATGCTGAAGAAGAATCCCTGAGAGTTTAAGGCCAGCCTGGGCTACATAGTTGGGTTCAAATCTTTTGCCTAAAAACTACATAGCCATACAGTCTTAAACAAATAAATAGAATTTGATCATCAAATAGACTGGCTACAATTGAAAACAAAACAAAACAAAACAAAATCCAACCTCAGACCTCCTTACTGCTACCAGAGACCAGACTCTGAGTCTGTGCTTCCTGCCCAGCTCTGCTGACAGGGCTGCACTTACCTGGAAGGGTGAGGAGGGCAGGCCCCCTGGGGAGCCACATGGAGTCTCTGGCTTCAGTCGAGGTCGGGGCAGCCTCAATGTAGTCCCTTGGGGGTGCAGCCGCCCTGGCCCTCGAGCGCTCTGAACCCCATCCCTGCTGGCACTCTGTGCTAGAGAAGCCAGCAGCCCTACATTGCTCATGCAGCCCACGGGCTCCTTGGTGGCCTTGTTGGCTATTTCCGTGATGTCCCGGGCCTCCACTCTGGAGATCACATCAGGCCTCTTCCCTGGAGAGCGGACCTTCACTCCTCGACAGCCACAGCCTGCGGGGCTGGGGACAGCTGCAGGCTTGGGGACTGCTCTGGAGTCCCGCACCCGGGGTTGTCGGTGTGGCTTTCCTGGGGCCCTGCTGTCTCCTGAACTCTTCACTGCCACCCTGGTAGAGGACAGGGATGGTGACACAGTGCTGACCCTCTGCTTGTCCACAGCATCAGCGCTGCTGTTGGTCCCTGCCACGCTCCCCTTAGTGTCTCCCAGGTGCAGCACATTCTCAGGTAAGCTCTCTTCATGGCATGGGATCTCGAGGACCAGATCATGGAGGTTCTCGGTTGCTAAGTTCCCTGTGGAGTGCTGGGTACCACAAGGCTGGGAAGGACCCCGCAGGTTCCCGGAGCTCAGCGGTGTCAGTGCAGGCAGAAGCCGGGGGCGTAGGGTCACCCTTGTGGAGCTGCTAGTGGGTCGAGTAGCAGGCGGGCGAGGCTGCACCCTCAGGGCTCTCTTGGGCTGCAAGGAAACAATGTACAGATATTATTGAGGATCCTCACCACCTGTCAGTGAAAACAACATCAGAAAGTGCTAGGACAGGATGTTGACATTTCTTTCATAACCTCAATGTACAATCTTTAAACAGTTTGAATCTTATGATTCTGATTGAGGTTAACTGCTATTTTGCTTTATTGGGTATAATTTTCTGAGGATGTTGAAGGAAAATCATTTTATTTCCCATAGTACTGTTTCACAGGTTGAAAGAACACAGGTTGATTACATGTAATATTGCACTGCTGACCTATTTTAAATCTGGACCAGCTTTCCTGCCACAATGAGGAAGGGAACCTCAGCTACTCTCCTGGGAGGAACTTATGTCCTGACCCTGGTGGTGAGAGGCTGGTTTGTGCTCCAAGATGGTGGTGCAGATCCCAGATCTCCTAGTGGCTGAGGCAAGAGATGGCAAGTTCTATCTCAGCAAAATAAAATAAAATATAAAAAGGAGCTAGAGATGTAGCTGTGAGCTAAAGGCCTATGTTCAAGTACCACCCCCCCCCAAAAAAAAAAAAGAAAGGAAGAAAAGAAAAAATAGTGGTTTTTGTGTCACTTATGCAAACTGTTCATGCGTACAATATGGTTCATGCTGAACAGCTGCTTTCTCTCAGGATCCTGGGACACACACACCAGGCAGAGGGTGTCTTGTGGTCCCACGGACAGGCCCAGTGAGGGCTCAGTTGACTTCCTAGCAGACAGAATCTCTTGGTAGATGAGCTGGGTACATCTTACAGGACTCTAGGAGGTCTGGGCCTGGCTGCCTCTAGACTTGGCTCTGTGTCTTTTCCCTTTGTCGATTTCGCTTTGTATCCTTTGCTATAACAAAGCCTAGCCACAGTGCAATTATATCCTATGTACTATAACCTATCATTCTTCCTAGAAAATAAAAAATTTGGGAGTGCTCTTGAGCCTCCTGGATCAAGGTTTTAATGAAAGTTCTGCAAAAAGTCATGATCTTATGTGGAAAGTTGAGAACAAAATGAAAGAAGATTTAACAAAATGGTAACTAGCAGGAGATGGGATGTAGTACTGATAACAAACAACACCCTACTTACAAGGGGGAATAAATTATCTTGTCAGAAAGTCCAGACTATCTGGGAGATGGCATTGCAGCAAGGAGAGCAATAGGAACTAAGAAAGAAAGATCTTGTGAACCTGACCCAGCTCCTGCTGCTGCTTCTGTGGTGGGGCCATCACCAATCTGCAATATATTTTTATATCCACCAAAAATATTTTTCAAAGGTAAGGGTCATGACTTCCAGACTGTGGAGATTTATGCCAGTTGCCTACATTTGAACATCTGCATACATCTTCCACCCTGTCCCTGACAGCAATCTAAATAAATATCCTTGGGCTGGGAATGTGGCTCCTTGGACAGGGCACTTGTCTAGCACCTGTTAGGCCCTGGTAAATTTGAGAGATTCATCTATAAAGCCTACAGCAGTAGTGAGAAAGAAAATGTGGAGCTTCAACCAAACCAAACCAAGAGAGACAGAGGTGATAAACTACAGATGGAACAAAATAAGCCAACAAAAGAAAAAAAACTTTGACTTAATAGGAAAATACTAAAAGCAGATCTAAGACCTGTGATATCAAACATGGGCCACTAGGATAAAAAGGGTAATGAGAAATCAAGAAATCTTTCAGAGACCAAAGGGGTAGTTTCAGAAGCACAGCTTTGTGGTGGAAGAGCCAACTGGAAGGAAAGGTGCTTTGGTGGGGCAAAGTAAAGATCCCAAAGAACAGAAGTAAATTACAAAGCCTTCCTTCCAAAAGAGTGCCAGTGAATTCAACAGAAATAACTCCAGCATTCCAAGAGGCTGAGGCAGAAGGACTGCAAGTCCGAGCCCAGTCTGGGCCACTTAGTGGCTGAGTGAGACCCTGTTCAAAAATAAAAATAAAAGCATTGAGAACATATCTCAGTGTGAAGGCTCTGGGTTCAAACATAGTATCCCAAACAAAAACAAAGATGAAAACCAAAATACCTGTAATTTTCTAGAGAACAGTGTTCTCTAGAAACTCTCACTTGCAGTACTGGGGATCCAAGCCAGTAGTACTCTATCACAAAGCTATATCTCAAGTCCTTTTTGTTTGTGTTTCATTGAGACAAGTTTGAGGTTTGAGTTCAGGCTTATTAATTTAGCCACTCAAGAAAATTCTGTCTCAGCCAGGTGTGGTGATGCATGCCTGTAATCCCAGTACATGGGAAGTTGAGGTAGGAGGATCGCTGTGAGTTTGATGCCAGTCTGGACTACATGGTGAGACCCTGTCTCAAAACACCCACCCACCCACCCACCCACCCAACCAACCAACATGCAAACAAACACACTGAAGATACATCTTACTGTGAAGGCCTTAGTTCAATTGCTAGAACTGCAAAGGCAGACAAATAAAACTAAGCTTATCACTAAATTTATCAGTTCAGATAAAAATGAGCCAACACATGTGTGGTTTAAATTACAACCACTTGAAAGTCAAAGAATCAAAAGGATACACAATAGAAGCACAATAAAGCACAAGAAAGGTATCACAATTGCACATCTTTACTAGATCCAGTGACAGACCTTCAAAATATGCAAGGCAAAAATTAAGAACTTTTGGAAAAATAAATCCACAAACATGTCCCTCAATAAATGATAGAGAGCAGAAACCTTCTCAAAAACAACAACAACAACAAAAAAAAAACCTACTCAAAACAAATCAAAAAAGACAGAGACACAGAGGACCTACCACCACAATTAATGACTTGATCTACTGGCAGATATAAAGAGAACATTCTGCAATGACCAAATACAATCTTTTCAAGGGTAGAAGTAATTTACCAGTAAGCACAGTCACAAATCAACTTATCTATTTTCAAAGGACTAAAATTATTGAGTATGGTTCCTAACTACAGCAAAATTATGCTACAAATAAATATTTAAAAAGTATACAAAAGTGCAGCATTTTGGAAACTACAGAGCCTGCTTCTAAATAAGTCAGTAGTCAAAAAGATATCACCAATACTACCCAAAGAGCTCTACAGACTTACTGAAATCCCTACCAAAATCTGAAAGCCAGTTTTTAAAGAAATAAGAAAATCTATCTTAAATGTCACATAATAAAGCCATGGTGGAAAAAGAGTCTCATAGTTCCTCCAAAAATTAAAACTGGAATTACTGGTACTACATTTTCCAGTAATTTCATTTCTAGTGTATTCTAAAAGAAATGAAATTTGTACCCCAGGTTCATAGCCCTATTATTCACAACAGCCAAGATGTAGAAGCAACAAAATGATAGAAAATGTGACCACTGATGGATACACAGATAAAATAACAGAATAACAACAACAAAACCGGGCACGGTGGCACACACCTATATTCTTAGTGCTGGGGAGGCTGAAACAGGAGGATCGCTACAAGTCCAAGCTGTGTAGCGATACCCTGTACCAAATATATAAATTAAAAAAGAAAAAGAATAACAACAACAAAAAAGAATTTGAGCAGGGATTTGACAGAAAAGATATCACAGGCCCACAGACATGACAGGTGCTCTATTTCCCTGATCTTCAGAGAGAGGTAAGGTAAGGGCAATGATACTAGACAATAGATGCACAATAAACTAGACACCAACCAAGAGGATATGCCAAACACAGAACAAAGGTTCAAGTCTCACTCTCCACTGGACAGAATGTAAGTTGGCTTAATCACTTTGGAAAACTGACAGTATCTACCTAAGCCAAAAGTAAGTGTTATCCATAAGAATTAACATAGCATTTGGAGGCAGTACTGGGTGTTGAACCCCAGGCCCTGCACAGGCTGAGAACCTGCTCTACCCTGGAGTTTCTCCCTGGCCTAATGCATCACTTTACAAGATTAAGCTATGTTTCACCATCCTTTGTAGCTCCAGAGCTATGAAATTTAAAAAAAATCATAAATTATTTTAAGTGCAGCACAATTTTTTCAGTCATGTTATTGGCTTTAAAAACAATTTATCAGAAAAAAAAGAGATTAGAAGCAAAAAATGTAAACAAAGCTTTAGTAAATAAGAACAGGAAGATAGGCTGAAGGAAAGGAGGGAAACAGGTGAACACAAGAATCAGGAAACATCCTGTACAGCTACAAATTCTATATGATGAATGTTATTATTATGTATATCTAAAATTATAAATAAAATTAATTGAAATTTAAAAAAAATAAAAAAATAAAAACAATTTATCAGTTTCCATAACTCAATAAAAACTGGAGGCATAGGGGCTGGGGAGATGGTTCAGTAAAATAAAGTGTTTCCCTGGTAAGCACAAGGTCTTGAGTTCAATCCTCCGTTCCACAAAAAACAAACAAAAAACCCCCAAAACAACAAAAAAACTGGAGACATAAATACCAATGAATAAAGCTTTGCCAACTCCCTGGGACTCAGCCCTGCTGGAGTGAGCTAGAGAAAGCCTGGGGGAGCTCAGGGTCACCTTTCTGCCGAGGTTCATCCTCTCCATCTTCGCCTTCAGCAGCTTCATCTTATTCATAGTTATTGAATTTTCAATGGTCTTTTGTCCAGAAGGAGAAGGTTCCACCTCCTCATCCTCATCTGTATACAAATTGTACATAGACCCATTGCTGCAAAGAAAACGAAAAGGACTTGGCACCTACCCACCATGAGTTAGCTCTACTCCAACAGCAGCTGCAGAGGCTGCCAGGCAAACCCATGCTGTCATCATGAGTGTGAGGAAGATATATTTTGCAAAGGTCTCCCTTGGGAGAACAATTTGTATGGTGACAGTCAGTTGGTACTCAGCATACCACTGGTGGTGATCTTTTGGCACTTGCTGTCAGTCAGGAAGAGGCACAGTCCACTTCTGCAAGAATGTGTAGCCAAGGCTGTCAGTACACAACCTAGGCCACGGGCTTATCAGGTTTCCATGGCCCAGAATTAAAAAGCAATGGTCACAGAAGAGAAGTGCCAGCTCATACACACACTTGCCAGGCAGATGCTGTGCCACTAAGCTATGTACCCGGCTCCTCTATTTGTTTCAGATTAAATGTTACATTTATTTTTGATATTCTTGTTTATTAGTATGTTTTCCCCTCCTTCCCATCTCGTCTACTTCCTTGTTTCCTTTCATCTTTCATTTTTCTCTTTACTCTTTCAGGTTTCTCATGTGAGAAAAAGTATGTAACAGTTAACTGTCTTGTCCGACTTATGTCACTCAGCAATAAGTCCTCAAGGCACACCCATCTCCCCACAATGCCTCAATTTCACCCTTGTTGATGGCCGAGCGGGTACATCCCACGTGTTGCATTTCAATTACTGATTAACCATCATGACATTTGTTCACACTTGCAAGAAACACCTGGAGCTTCTTCTCTTTGATCACATACTAGAATGACGCTCTACACAGTCTTCACATTTGTACTTAACATGTCTGTTTCCCTCATGTAAAGCACAAGCTAGGCTTTACACATCGTCCTAGTCTTTGCACCTGGCAATGGGGCTTGCCATATAGCCAATAAGTGTTTGATGAATCAAACAGAAGCATTCAAGTCTCAGTACATTTCAACAATGAGAAAATTAGAATGGTAAGAGTTTGTAAAGCACACGAGTTCACTGCAGTAGCTACCGACTGACAATGTCAGAGTGGAAGCCTTAGCAGCATAGACCTCCCTGTGCCATCCTGCCCAACGCCTGTGGACAGTCAGGAGACAACAGGGCAGCACTGACCAAACCTACATAAGACAAAAACCCCATATTTGATATAGGGCCTGTTCACTCTTCCCATGGAGCCCTGACCCACCTTCCCTAAAAGTTAATGCTTATAAATCTTTATACTGGAAGTTCTAAAAGGTGCTAGATGTTCTGAAAAAAGATACTCTGCGGATAATTAACTATATTTGCTGACCAGACTGCTTCAATATCCTTAAATTCTCATAAAAATCCCAATTTATCATACTGAAGCCATGCTTCCTTTCTTGGAACTTGCCTGCTGTCCCTCTTGAAGTGTACTCTGACCTGAAGAAAGCCTTACAGTTACCCTTATCTTTGTCTTTGTAATTTTTTTTTACTACCTGCCTCACTAGCCCTTTGAATGTTGTCTCACACAGCACTCAGTATGTATATGGAGAATGAATCAAACCTTAAACAGAGCAGAGTAAGAATAGTAGTCACAGCACCTGAAGTACTCACATGCACAGTAAAGCACGTAGCTCTGCTACGAGGCATGAGGTATAACATTCCCTGTTCTGGGTAGGTATAAGGCATGGGACAGCCCAGGACACACAGAGCATATCGTATAATGCTTCTGAAGCATATGCCACCAGCATATGGGTAGAGCAGATGGCAGATATCCCTAAACTTTCTAAGGTGAAATGGATGGTTTTCTGTGATTGCAAGTTAATCACACACACAGCAGGCACAAGTGTCAAAAGGAACAATGTAGGAACTAACTGCACCCACCACTGCTACCTAGAGCAGCTGCCCAGTGATAAGGATGCCTATGCATGAGGGTCAGCACCAGCAAAATACTGCCTGTTGCTATCAAATGCCTGCTATGCCAGGCACTTTCCACACATTTTCCTTGTACAACTACAGAAGACGGATTGGTAGATGGATATTTATCCCATTTTAAATGAAGAAACCACAGCAGAGAGGGTAAGCTGTCTTGAGACCAGAAAGTTGGTGTGTAGAGTCCTAAGACCCAAGTGCCCCTTGGTCTGGTTTTAAAGGTGATTCTTCCCACCACTTCCTGTTGCTTCCCCAGGCACCAAAGTACAGCTTAACTGCAGTATGCTGCGTCCTTAGATGAGTGACAGAACCTATGGCTCACAGCATGGGATGCTGGGTGGTTGCTTTGCCTCGAGGTCAACCACACCTGAGAAGGAGGGCAACACAAAGAATCTGTCAGCTCATCTGGTAGACTAGAAGGAATGTCTCATGTACCCTCCCATCTTGGTTACCTGGCGTTACTTTTGAGCTTTAAATATTTCTCACGTATCCTGTGACATTTTAATTTTATTTTTCTCAAATTCTGAAAGTTTTGGACTTAATTATTATCATAATAACTTATTCTCCTATAATACGTGCATTAGAAAAGAGCAATCAAGAAATTGATTGGTGATAAATATTTGATAATTGCTAAATATTTCACTGGATGCATTTTAAAAACACCTTTAAAGTCATCTCATTTTTTTCTAACAATCACAGTTTTATATTGTCTTTTAAAACCATGAATTCATGAGATCACTAAAAGTATTCTTGGATAGAAAAATGTTACTAGACTAGGATAACACAGTGATTTATAAAGTGTTTCCAAAAATATATTTATGAATTTAGGTATTCTAATACTTATTGAATTTATACACATTTTCTTTCCTTCTCCTTCTTATCATATATAGGGATTGAATTCAGGCCCTTGAGCTGGCCAGGGAAGCGCTTATTCCACTGAGCCATCTCCCAGGTCCCCTTTTTTATTTATTTATTTATTTTTTTTGAGACAGGGTTTCACTATATAGCTCAGGCTGACTTCACACTCACAGCAATCATCCTGCCTCAGTCTCACAAGTGCTGGGATTACAGGTATGGGCCACAATGGTTGGCTTTGTACATATTTTCTTGAGTGCTACATAAAAGTTTCTCTAAACATTTTAATTTAATAATCTAATATGATTAAAATAATTTCATATGATCGAGAATAAGAGATGGGTAAACATGGTATTTATTTCGACAGGAATATTATTTATTCCAAAGCCAAGACCTAATTTGACTCTCCTTATATATTCTAAAAAACCCAGAAAGGTAGTATGATTCATAAAAATGTTTGAGACTCAAAAAGATTGATGCTGCATTTTGTATCAGAATGCATCCAACGCCTAATTCCATTTCTTCTTAAAGTAGGAGTTGGTAAAGTATGGGCATGGGCCACAGCAATTCACCTTGCCATGTATTGTTTTCCTGCTTCTGTACCACAGCGTCAGAGTGAGCAGCTGACGGTGACCACATGTGGCTCTCTTACTGCTATGAAGCTGGGGCATGAAGGGACCCTGCCTGTGGTCCAGAGCAGCAGCCCTTGCTGTGTTCATCTTCTCTCCTGTAGCCCACATATCCATGCCAGCCAGATCTTGACACCTTGGATAACAGTCACCACCCACTATCATAGTCTGGTTTTTGGGCCACCACCAAGGAGTGCAAGCTCTCCTCCACATACACTCTGTGGGGCACAGAGTATCTGTGACTCCAACCTCTGGTGTTTTTATCCATAGTCTACTCTTAAGTGTAGGCATGACCACAACAGGCTGCTGGTCAGTGGAATAAAAGGGAGAGAGACTTTGCAGATCTAACTTAGGCCTCAAATCATTCATTATGAGTTAATTTGAAATGGAGCAAAGAGCTAGTCATGGTGGGGATACCTGGAGTCCCCAGCTACTTGAGAGGCTGAGATGGGAGATGCTTGAGCTCAAAGGTTGGAGATGACCTGGGCAACAGAGCAATCTGGTCACAAAAATGAAACAAAAACAAATCATAAACCAAAGAGAACTGAGGACAGCATTTAGCAAATAGGCACCTGGAGTCTCAGTCTACCTGGAAGGTAATGAATTAAACAGACACTGTGAATGAGCTTGAAAACAGATTCTCTTTCCAGTGCAGCCTTCAGATGAGAACACACCCTGCTGACAGTGGCAAGCAGCCCATGGTACCCCAAGACCTGGACTCTGCTCCAAAAACTACAAGCTCTTTTGTCTTTAAATAATTTTACCTATACATTTATTTCTTTGTTCATTTCACTGTAGCTACCCAGAGCACCTTTTCTTTCTGTCTTCTTTGCAAACTCCCTCTCTTTTCCCTCTTCCACTTCCTCTCAGACTGTCCCTAACTTTCCTTCTTCAGGTAAAGTGAACACCTTCTCTGCTTTTCCAGAGACCTTGGTATCTTATGTTACCGGTGCCCTAGTACAGAAGTTCAGTAAATGTTTAGTGACTGAAAGCAAAGGGAGATAAAGTATGACAGCAAGTTGGAATGCACTGAAATGTAGAGGTTAACATGTCTGGTACCCCAGCATTCCTAGAATTCCTATTGCCTAACTAACCCCTTTAGGATTTTCTCTCTTGATTTTAGAAGTATTATTTTAATTTATCTCCCTTTTACAGAGTAGGAAAATAAAAACATAGAAGAGATTTATCACTTGTGGCAGAGTTAAATTCTGAAAAAGGATCTAGTGATATATTTAACCCTTTCTACTATGTCATAGTTAAGTAACATGCTGTTATAACAATACAGTTATCTATGAAGATCTTAAGAGTTTCACAAAGACTTGAGTATCTTTTTATAAAAAAGTCTTATACCGTAAAGAAACTGTAGTTTTAGAGATTACTCTAAATATCAATCATACAAAAAATTAAGTAGGAAGGGAAGACAGGGATAACTGCATAAATTTAGTTTAACATACTAAGCTTACTTTATAACACAAAGTAAACATAAGGATATTTGGAGCATATTATATGATATTCTCTTTTCCTAGTGAGATATGCAAATGAAAACCTCTTTACCTTAAAGATTCAGATAATGGTGTTAAAGTGCCATCTCCCCTATCTACTACACGAAAGAAATTCAACTGATCTCCTTCCCGGTAAACCAAGAACGTGACTTGTCTGCTGCAGGAGGCCTTCTCCCAGACCTCATCTCGCCTGGGGTCCATGAATTCGGCGATCTCCCTAAGCGGGTCTTCCATGGGAACTAAAGTGGAAAAATTAACAGAAAGCTCTCAATTGACGGCAGCTTTTGTGCATCTTGTACAGTGACAGGACATAATGTGCCGACCTAGCAACCCCCTGTGCATATCATATATACATGGCATTCTCCAAGTAGGTGTCTGATCTCTAGAGTTCATATAACATTGTTTATGTTGGGCTTATATGAAAGAAATAAAATGCACCATTATGCTGACCAAAACATGAGGATTTTCTTTTCCTGCACCACCAAAGTCTATATATCTGCTAATTTTATAGCATTATTATCTAAGATTTTCCCACTGGATACCTTTAGCTTCCTATATTTTCAAATATCATTTCCAATGATCAACAAAAATTAAAAACAGTACAAATGCCAAATGCCACTACTATAGAATAAAAGGTAAACACATACAGCTGAGAGATATACATAAAAAATTAGAAGGGAGGGCTGGAAGTATAGTACAACAGAACACTTCCTTACATCTCTAATGCCCTGGTTTCATTTCCCAGAAGCAAAACAAAGAAAGAAAGAAAAAAACCCACCAAAAAACCTTAAAACAGCAAAAGCAACAAATCTCTTTTTATTTCTTTTATATAGAAGCTATTTCTTCTCAAACCTGCTCCTTGACATGAAGCTGAGTAACAGGACACAGGGACGCAGCCCACAGGGGCTGATGCTGCACTAAAATTGCAGAGTAAGAGGTGGTCAGTATGTTCTTTTGGGTCAGGCTCCTCCCAGAGCCTCCCCTGTCTTGCAGCATAATGTGTGTGGTCAGAATGCAGAGGTATCTGGGTTGACTGGGGCTATTCTGATGCTACACAACTGGTAGCCTCTGGAGCTTCAGAGTTGACCTTGGGTTTGAATGACACTGTGGCCACCATGACAAAACTACTTGTATCCACAACAGCCATTGACTTTATCACAGTGGCAGGAGTGGGCATCAGGACACTGCTGCTTATAGGGTAAATGCAGGAGAAAGCCCAACCCAGATCTGGGGAGTCAAAGTAACAATGTTGTAGAAAACAAAAAGTTCTCTCCAAAGACACCCCCTGCCAAGCTGCAGAAATACTGTTCTCTTCCAAAAGAAATTATAGTTTTCCAATCTGAAAAACTTTCTTTCACTTACTAACAGAATCACAAGCATGTGCTACCCTTTAAAAAGAAGTACTACCAATAGAAAAATATACAACTCTGAAAGGAGTTAGGAAAAATCACCCAAGATATTCCTGTACTCTAAATTCACAACCCACATATAGACTGTGGAAATAAGGTAAGATTTGTTTTGTGAAATAATCCTTTGAACGATTTGACGAACTTAGATATAAAATGTACAGCTACCAAAGGACAATTTTCAGGTAAGTTCTTGCTCTTTTAAAGTGAATGGTGTCCTTTCCACATTAAATGAATGAAAAGTAAAAATTACGATGCTGGATGTGAGGTTTTGCCACTGCTGCTGTCACTACGTGGCCATGAGGGCTTCCCCTGAGCAGCACAGGACCTTGCTAAGAAGGCCTGTGCTGCCGCTGTGCATGTGTATGCACTGTATGTGTGCCTGTGCATGTGTGCCTGGTGTGCACACACTGTGACGGCCTTCCTGTGTCAGAAAAGCCATTTAGATTTTATCAGCTACAAAACAATGCACTTGGAGCTAGGATATGATGTAATGTTAGAAAAGAAAGCATTTTCATTTTTTAAATTTATTTTCCTTTTTTGTGTTTTAGGGAAGGGTTCACAGGGTGTTCAGGATCTCACTACTAGATTGGACTCGTAGTGATCCTCCTGTATATAGCCTCCCAAGAGCTGAGATTATGCACCATTATGCACCATTATGCACCATTATGTCCAGTCTTAACTGCCATCTCAAGGTGCCCAAGGGGCAGGGCTGACAAGGTGGGCCTGGGGATCAAAACCCCCAGCTCCTGAGCCTGCTTGCAGGTGCTTTAATCCTCTGAGCTATTTGGACAGCCCATATTTTTAAATCTTTTTATTTATTTATCTATTTGTTACCAGGTCTTGCTACATAGCTCAGACTCAGTGATCCTCCTGCCTCAGCCTCCCAGCACTGGGATTACAGGCATGCACTATAACACCCAGTTTCGGTGGCCAGCACAGTGTGCCCAAGGTTCTGGGGTCAGCAGCATGTGGTACCAGGGATCGAACCTGGGTCCTTGCCAAGAGCTTAGACCACCCAGCTATCTCCCTAGCCCCAGGAAAGCATTTGTTAATGGTTATTTCAAAACAAATTTTAAAGTTAAACATTGCTGGAACACACATAATAAAGATTCTCTGAACCATGGTTTTGAAATAATAAGACTAAATTAGCTTTAAAAGTATGGTTTCTCAACTATAATATGGGAAGTTCCTAAGTCTGGGTGCAGTTTTTCTTTTCCACAAAGTTTTAAATGACTTATGGTGGGCAACATTAAGACTTTGATGTTCAAAGTGTGAATAAATTTAAAAGCCACCTCTCAAAAAAAAAAAAGACTTTGATGTTCAAAAGTGTATTTAATAAAGGGAAATTTAAGGGCTGGGGAGATGGCTCAGTAGAATAAGTGCTTCCCTAGCAAGCACAAGGGTCTGAGTTCAATTCCAGGTTCCACCAAAAAAAAATAAAGGGAAATTTATTTTAAAAATTTATTTTATTTTTGTCTTCCTGAGACAGGCCACTATACAGTTCAGGCTGATTTTGAACTTGAAGATGTCCTCCTGCCTCAGTCTCTTAAATTTTGGCCTGATCTAACAATTTTATTTATTTATTATTATTTTCATGTATTTGGTACAGGTGCTACAGGGACTCATTATGATCCTCTTGTTTTCAGCCTCCCAAGTGCTGGGATTACAGGAGCGCACCACTGTGCCCAGTCTCAATCGCAGTCTCAGCACGCCCTGGGGGCAGGGCTGGCATGGCAAGCTGAGGATCGAGTCAGGCCACCGCACTCTGCCTAAGCAGGCATTTTAGTCTGCTGAGCTGTCTGGTTGGCACTGGTCTAACAATTTTAAATATTAAAAATTAAGTGCTAGCTACTGATTTGTCAATTCCAAAGCATGCAACATAAAGTTGTAGGAAAATTATTATCAAGACTCTATTAGAAATCTTCAACTACCAAAGGGTAATGATTCCTTTCATCTTCATTTAAAAAGGAAAAACATCTATAAACACTCAGAATTTGTAGTACTGGGCTGGGGAAATGGCTCAGTGCAATAAGCAATTCCCTAGCAAGTGCAAGGGCCTGAGTTCAACCCCCAGTTCCACCAAAAAACCCAAAACAAAACAGAATGTGTACTATTTACACTCATTCTCATAAGTGTGCAAAATAGTTTTACTCCTAATAAGAAAAATTTGATGTTCTAATTAAACACCCTGGTTTAAGGCCAGTACTATACACAAATAACCAAATTCCAAAAATATAATGCAATGGAATTCAGATGACATTAAATATTGCATAATTTTATCTTAATGTAATGGCTCAGTAAACACTTAGGGTTCTTATAAACACTACCCACATCACATAAAAACATTTATCGGTCTAGTTAACAGACACCTTGATGTCCCTAATCTGCTTTAGTCTTTTTTTTTTTTTTTTTTTTTGCGGAACTGGGGATTGAACTCAGGCCCTTGCGCTTGCCAAGGAAGCGTTTATTCCAATAAGCCATCTCCCCAGCCCCGCTAATCTGCTTTAATATGATTATTGTGTTCTCACAAACTTATGTTAAACAGTACAAGAGGTTTCACAAAATTCCCTTGAGGTAGTGAGGAAAATGGTAATAATCCTATTTTTAAAGTAAATTTGTGAAGCACAGGGATATTGTTTGACATGTGGCAGTATGCCAGCAGTAGGCTCGATACTTATTTAGTTTTCCATTTTGTGAAGAACCAAACATGTCTGAAGGCCTCCCCCAACATGAGGGGAAGAGCAGCTGCCTCCCAAGGGTGAGTTTGTGTGACACTGCTGCAGTGTGGGCTAGGTAGAAACTTGGCTCTTCTATGCTTAGAACCTTCTTGTCAATCGAGTCGTTACCCACATCGTCTTCTCCCAGGACCCTCCATCCTGCCACACTTCCACAGACATGTCACATTATCTTGTTTGTTTCCTTTATAGCACTTACAATCTCATGAAATTATAGTCATTTTTTTTTACAGTAGTTCTTTACTGGAGGCAGTGCCAGGGAGCAGGGCCTGGCACCCCACATTCACTGTACTGACACCTCATACGTGGTCACCATGTCCACATTCTGAGAAAAGATTTGAGAAGGCCATGAAAACATCCATGAGACCCGGATGCATCATAAGCTAGGTAAATAAATGGACAACACTGACATTTTCCTTAGCAATCATTATCCCAGGAATTGAAGACTCAGTAGAAAAAAAAAAAAAGCAACAAGACTGGCATGAATCGAAACATAAATGATAATATTATTTATACAATGTTATTCCATTTGCCTTCCCTTTAACTGGGCAGCAGATTTATTTCTAAATCTTGAATTGAATTAAGCATCATGAAATCTTCTGAAATTTACAAGTTTCTGAAAATTTAAAATCTTCTGAAATTTAAACATTTAAAAGTTCAGGTCTCTATGTATTTAAGTCTTAAAAGAATAGTCCCCAGCAAAACAAATGAGATTCTTCTAAGACTTAACAGCAGGAAAGGTACTTGACTTGAACTGAAGGCTATAAAACTGCTAATTTATAGAATGTTACTGTCAAGTTGCTTGAAGAACAACTGTCAATTTGCTTTTGATGCATACCTACCTTTTCTAGTATTTATAGGTCCACCACGCATGGCCAAAACCAGCTTCAAAGTACAACCTTCTGAAATGCTGTGAACAGTTAACACAGGAATAATCTATAATTGTGAAAACATATTCAATGTTAAATGTAACACAAATTAAATGTTGGTGTACTAGGCATAGTAGCTATTCTCCAAACTATAAAAAAGCACAGCAACATGAATACATTTAAAACAGTATTTAATTGTATAAATAATACAGTTAACAGGTCCCTTACACATGATGTGAAATCCCAGAATAAACACACGGGAAAGGAACTCTGGTCTGTACCTCTTCATCCTAAATGTGAAGAGAAGGAGGCCTAGAGAAGAAAGAGTCTTGCCCAAGACCCACAGAACTAGATGAGAGATCTGCTCACCGGGGTTGGCCCCCAGAGCTCTCCCACGGTTCATCCTTTTGCTTTTTTCTTATGAGAAGAGTAATGAACTCTGCGAGTATAGAGACAGACAGGAAAGGGGCCCAGCAGTGTGTCTGGACCTGGCGGTGCACACAGCACTGCCCAGTGATGGAGGGGGGCTCCAGGAGGAAGGTGTCAGTGGAGAGCAAGCCTCTCATGCCAGAACTCGCCTGCAGACAGACAGGAAAGAAGCACAACAGACAGGAGAGCATCAGTGTTCAAAGAGAGAAGCAAAGGGCACCAGAGGTTAACAGGTAGGTATAAAATCAGAGGAATAGCTTAACATGAAAAATAGTAAAATGTAAGCATCAGCAGGCAAAGAAGACTCAGGGACAAGGATGAGCGCTAAGCCTACAAATCTACTGCTCAGTATTTACAATGAATCTTTGTAAAGAGCTTCATCTAGGTCAGAGCTTTTATCCTAGGATTAAGAAGAAAAACACTGGTCTACAGAGTCATTCTCCTGAGCACCTCTAAATAGCTAATACACAATTACACTCACTTGTAATCATTCAAGCAATAATCATCTTCAAGTTCCACGTTATTCCAAATTAAGTGCTGCTGACAGATGGGGATACCTTAGAGGAAGGTGATAATAAAGAGTGTTACAGAATTCAAGAGCATCGCCAAGAATGTGCTATAAAATGACTTCACTAAAGAACTAAAAGTGCTGACAAGCACACTTCTAAAATGAATGCTAGGTGCTTAGCTAAAATTTATAGAATTACAGGAAAAAGCAGGTGAAGAGTAGAAAAAATCTAATCTATTCACTTTATAAGAGCATGTTTCAGTAACTCTGCAGCCCTAGAAGAAAATATAAAAAGCCTTATAAAAGATGCACTTGATCTTTGTTATCATAATTACTGTCATGAGTGACCCCTGAAGAGTTTAAGATTTAAGGCCCAGAAAACAGTTCTAAATGCTGCAAACTAGTCTGCATTCAGCTTTATTATTTATTTTGTTGTTATTATTATTATTATTGGTGGTACTAGGGATTGAACTCAGGACCTTATGCTTGCCAGGCAAGCACTTATTCCACTGAGCTATCTCCCTAGCACCCAGTTTTATTATTTTAAATTCAGTGATAAAAGCATATTAAGAACTTTCAATGCTGAAAATCAGTCTATAGGACATTTTCTTTACATTTCTGTGATGCTAAAGAATAATAAGGCAGATTCTGTACTCTAGCATAATAATTCTATCTTTTTTAAAAAACAATCTGCATACTTAAATCTCCTAAGAAAATTACAGTTATATTAGTCAGGATATAAACATTACCTACTCAATAGGACACTTAATGTATACTGACACTGATGAAAATATTTTTCAAATATTTCACCATACTCCCTTCTCAAGTTGCTTTTGGTTGTGGACAAGAATAACAACAGGAAATGCCACATGTACTAGCGTTTACATAAACCAGGGACCTTGCATGCATTTGACCTTTGTTATCATAATTCAGCTGCAATAACAACCCTGAGAAGTAATAGTGCTGGAATCTGAATTTCACAGGTGCTGACACTCAGGACAGAGAGATGAAGTGACACACGAAGAGTACAAGCTGTGATCAAACAGTAAGTTTCAATATTGTCACAGAGACATTGTGATGGCTATTCAGGACCCACACATATGTATAACTTGTCATTTTTAAGATCTCACTTTTAGTTATTAATGTTAATTGTGATAATTTTGTATCTGTTTGTAAATGTCTCTTCCACATACCTATATTACTTATGAGTAAAGATTTAAAGACCATAAAAAACCCAGTACATTTCAAATTTTTAAAATTTATTACACTAAAAGACACACTTTTCCTTAATCGCCCAATATTCCCTCCAGCTTTGACTGTATTATTGCATCATTCCTGCCACTCTCTGAAGCAGATCTGGGAGTTGTTTCTTGTCTTTAGTCAAGCTGTTCTGATTGCTTTGATGTCCAGCATCTATTTTAGACACTTATATTTCAACATGGGAGATGAAGACACACTGTAATATTTTTACCAGAAAGAAACTGCCTTAGGAGCAGTGCGTGACAAGGTGTGTTGTCATGATAGAGATGAAATGGCTTGTTTCTCACGCAGTTTTCTGTGCATGTTGTTTCTTACATGCTCCAGCAAGCCATTATTATTATTATTATTATTATTATTATTATTATTATTATTGGTAGAACTAGGGATTGAACTCAGGTCCTTGCACTTGCCAGTGAAGCACTTATTCCACTGAGCCATCTCCCCACCCCAAGAGGGCATTAAAACATCAGAGTTTACTATGGTGTTCCTAAGTATTAATTTGACTCTCCCAATTCCATCAAATCAAAAAGCACATTTGATGTTACTTTGATGTTGGATATTGACTGACACTATTTTATTTTTATTTATCTATTTATTTTTTACATGAGGAGATTTCATGAGGTTTCCATTGAGATCTTGAAGTTCAGTCTCAGGATCATAAACAGACCCAAGTTTCATCTCTCATTATGATATTTCTGAAAAAGCTGCAATATGAAGTGGCATAACTCTAATAGTTTCCTTTTCTGTTTTGAAAACATTTCATGTTGTTATCAGTGCACCATGATTTACAGCACACCTTCTCTCAACTGTAGCTTACAACTGACTGATGTACCTCACTTGTGAGGCCCAACACACTGCTTGTCATATCCTGCCTTTCTGCTAGTTGGCATGTGTCACTGTGTTCACCATGTTTTGTTCACAATTCCTGTGGCAATGGGAGACCAGGGCTACCTCTAGAGACTGAGCTAATTTCTTTTTAGAATATGAGCTTGCCCAATGCAAAAGCAGCTGTCTGAACAATGCACCTCCATGCATAGACCTGTTCATTGACCTGTGTTTACCAAAGCTCAGTAAGTATCCTAAATAGCAATCAGGAACTACACTGGGGCTCATGGGGCAAGTGTCCACACCTCTGTCTCCCAAACAGACTAGTTCACTTCTTTTGTTTCTGCCTAATGCAAAGGTCAGTAAGGAAAGGTTTTAAGCTATACACTTAAGCTAACCATACATTGCTTTGTACTACTAGATAATACTCCAAGATATACTTGTCATAACGAATTGATCTTGTAGCCCTCTAGCAAGATATTTATTCATCTACCTAGTTTTTCACTATAATAAAGTTGTGATTATAAAAGATGTCAGAATCAAAATGGAACTGCTCTGTGTCAAGCCTAACAAAAACTAAATGAATAGAGCCAGGAAGTAATGAAGGTTTCTCACCCAAAATGGCCGATAGTAACGATCACCAAAGAGGCCAGCACTATAGCCCTGAACAAAGGCCACCAAACGTTATCCACCTAGGAAACACCTTGGTAGACATTTGTGCAGCATCTCTCTGGTCAGGCCAAGACACCTCTGGTATTAACCTTTACGGCCACAAATTATAATTTCAAAATGTCTTACAGAATCCTCATTTTGTCTTTCAAACTTTCCCTTCCCTTGCCCTCTCTGACTGTTCACATAGCTTCTTACAGATATGTGTATTTCTACTATAATGCTTAACTTCTCCTAAGTAAACAATTTTCAGAAAATCTCTACTTAGGTTGATATGATACACTAGGTACATGAATGTGAACGTATCTGAGTATGTGTATATGTGTGCATACATGGCAGAATTTAAAAATATTCCTTGTCTTCTTTAGAATTTGCAGATATGTGAATTGAGAACATATTCACACATGCATTAGAATAAATTATATAAGTAGAATCAATTGAGCTTTGGGCAATTAAAAACAAAGGTAAACCATAGCTCCCATTTCCCTGTTTCCTTCTACAAAACACAACAGTATGGAGGAAAACGAATCTATATAGAAACCCTGCCCTCATCACTTGAAAAGAGAGAAATGTCCAAATTTCAAATAACTAAATAAAATGGGTCAACACACCCAAGTCAGTGCAGGGGCAATCATACACATCCATGAGTTAGGCACAGAGAAGAACTAAGACTGGTACTATGCACAATATAAATCTCTCCCCAGGAAGATAAAGGGCATTCTGCATATGAAAGTTTACAGAAAGGATTCAGGTGTGTTGGAACACTCACCACAAGGAAGCAACCTAAAAGATATATGATTTGTCAGTGAATTTTCTTTCTTTCTTTCTTTTTTTTTTTTTTTTTTTTTTTTGTGCTTGAAACTGAACTCGGGACCTCATGCTTGTACCATGCGATTTGAAGGAGCTTCTGCAGGAGGCAAAGCAAATGAGGAGCCCCCATGAATCTTTGTTGTCATGAGCCAGGGACACATGGGAGTCTGGTGAGACATAACACCACAGACTAGGTGCATGCAGTAGATTTATTGCTCTCATGCTGCAAGGATAGGGGCCCAGAAGTCACTGCCAAACTGTCCTCATGTTTCAGGAATTCAGCTTGTGCAAATGGAGCGTTGACTGTATGAACCCAAGCTGGACTGCAGATGAGGAATTAAAGGAGCAGCCTGTTCTGTGATCTTAACTTGGGGCCCCATGACACGCAGGGCTGGAGTGGTAAAGGACGTCCCATTTCTAGGGAGGACTGAAAGGAAGCCAGGGCATCACAACCAGTCCCTCTATGTATCAGAGTACTGCACACCCAACACATCCTATAGCAGAGTACTGCACACCCAACACATCCTATAGCAGACTCCGAGAACTACAAAAGTGTAGGGGGGAAAGACCTGGGTGGGTCCAAAGCTGCCAGGACCTTTATGCATGCTCTTCGGTGACTTAGTGGTCAGAAGGAAGGATAGGGTGCAAGACAAAAGAGAATCATAAAACTGGGGGACTTACATCACCAAACAAACATATGACATTTATTGGAATATGAACATTGCTATGCTGCCAGAGAATGCACCATCACACAATCCTGAAAATATGAAAAAAAAGCTTTGTACCAGAAAACTAAAAATTTACAGGAATTGGGTAAAAGGAGATATATAAAAATATCGAAAATGACAGACTCTAAAGAATACAATGAAATGAGTTATCAGAAGAGAATTCACAGCAATAAATATAAAAGAAAAGTAAATTCCTACCAAAAAAGAATATTAAAAAGGGGCCGGGGAGATGGCTCAGTGGAATAAGCACTGCCCTGACAGACACAAGGGCCTGAGTTCAATCCCCAGGTCCACCAAAAAAATAAATAAATAAATAAAATAAATAAAAAATGAAATAAATAAACAAATAAATAAAATAAAAGAAGATATTCAGAATAGAATTTTGTGAGTGCCTAAATCCTTAACCAATAGGGGGCTGGCTACATAAAGTACAGAAATAGCTCTTGCTACACTATTATGGATAGTAAACAGTAAATATGCTTGAAAGGGCTGATTATTTTCCTGTATTAAAATAAGTCATAAGTTGTAAGAAAAAAAAGGAAAAGAACAAAGTAAACGAAAAGAATGTACAAGGAAAGTAGTAGTAAAGATACAAGTAGAAAATTCAAAAGCAGTAATAGAACTCTGGATTTCTAAAAACATTCACAAAGTAAAGTATTAGCTATCATGAAAAAATGTGAATACATAAAATAGGAAATATCATGGAGATACTACCTCAGGAAATTACAGATTAACACAATTTTTGCATTAAAATTAG